ATATTCTGTAACTACGGGACTGTAGTCGCTTGAAGAGGCGCTGCGCGAGGCGGTGCGCGACGGAGAGGCCGAGGAGGCGGGCGGCGGCGGAGAGGCGGCCGAGGCGGCCTCTGCGCTCGCGGCCCTGCGCGCCCTCCGCGCCGCGCCCGCCCCCCGCCTGGCGGCCGCGCTGCGCGCCGCGCCCCACGCGCGCTCGCTGTGAGTGACTCGCCCGCCCCGCCTGCCCCGCCCCGCATGCCCCGTCCGCCCCCGCTCACCCGCCTCTGCGCAGGGCGGCGTTGAGCCGGCTGCTGGGCGCCTCGGGCGCGCCCGGCGCCCACGAGGCGGCCGTCGGCGAGCTGGCGCTGGACGCGAGCGACGCCCCGCCCCCCGCTCTCCACTACCTGCACGCGCTGGCGCTGGCGCACGAGCCTCACGTGAGTCCGCCCCCGCCCGTCTCCCTCCGTCGCCCCTCCGCGAGCGTCGCTGACAGCGGATCGCCCGCCCCCGCAGGAGTCGGTGGTGCTGGACGCGCTGCGGCTGGCCGAGGAGGCGCGCTCGGCCGAGGTGCGCGAGGCGGCGCTGCTGGCCGCCGCCGCCGGCGCCGCCCGCCTCGGCGGCCGCGCCTCCGCCGTGCTGCGCGACGCCCTGCCGCGCCTCCTGGCGCGCTGCATGGTGAGTGCCTCGCCGCGGCCGCGCCGCTCGGCCGCCCGACGCCCGATGAGTCGCGCCTTCTCTGTTCGGCGGCAGGACGACGAGACGGCGGAGCGCGCGCGCCCGCTGGAGCAGCGCGCCGCCGCGCTCGACCTGGTGCTGGTGCGCGCGGCGCCGCTGCCGCCGCCGCTGGCGCTGGCGCGGCTGGCGCGCGAGCTGAAGACGCACGGCCCGGCCGAGCTGCGCCGCCTCTTCTGGCAGCGCGCGCGCCAGCTGGCCGCCGAGCACCGCCCCCTGGCTGACGTGCTGGCCATGCTGGAGCCCGACTTGCGCGGCTGGGACGCCCTGGCGCAGCCCGGTACTCACTGACTTTTTACTACCAGAGTTTTCCAATTACTTCTTGATAACGATAATTGCGCTTATTAACAAAATAGTTTAAAAACATTAATTAAATCCGTAGGAGCATATTTTTTACACAATGCCATCCCAAATTAAGCAAAACTAGATAACTGATAAACATATATAAACATACTTTTCTCACATAAATAAATAATAAGAAAAAATCTACGACGAAAAATAATAGCTATGTATACAGTTAGGAAATAAATAAATATAAAAACTAAAAATTATAAACTATAAAATTAATAAAGAAGAATAATAAACAGAAGAGTTCCAAGATGTGAACCTTGAGGCACTGGTTTTGGTGGAGATTTAAAACCACGCACATTTACAAGCTGCGACTGATTTTTAAGATAGGATTCACACGACCTCAATAAAGAACCGTATATACCAGCATGTCCTAGTTTAAGAATCAAAACACCGTGTTGTTATCTATATTTGACATTAGTTTATTGGAAGTGATGAATTTGTCTCTTGGCGATTAATCTCTTTTTGGTTTATTTTAATACTTTAGAGAGACTGTATAGATTGTCTGGTTATAAAAGATTTATTAAAGTCTAAATAAATGGTATCTTGAAATGGTAAATACACGTATAAAAAACACTACATTCCACGCAAAACGCGGTATTAATAATTGGTAATATTGGTGTTGTATCGATTTGATGGTGGTGAACCGCATACTTACTTCAGTTAGTTATTAGTACGCGTAATTCAAGTAAGAACGGGGTATGTGATACACAAATGCACGCTAGTGAAATGTGCATAAGATGTATAAAATGACAACGTTTCGTAATACCGAACAGGAAGATATCAATGACGTTTGAAATAAGTATAAATTCGGGGGTCGTTTCCTGCGGGACTGTGGAGTGTGTCCATAAGAAAGAAGGAAATTTGTGGGTGTGCACAGGGACGTCGTCGGTGCTGGTGCGCAGCCTGGGCCGAATGGGAGAGGGCCCCGCACGGCTCGAGTCGCTGCAGCTGACGAGCGGTGGCCTGCTGCGGCGCGGCGCCGTCACGCTGCTGGCGGACGGCGCGCCGCAGCCGCTGCTGGCGCTGGAGCTGTGGACGCGCGGGCTGGAGGCGCTGGCGGGCGAGGGGGAGGCCGCCGAGGGGGAGGGGGAGGGCGCGGCCGAGGAGGCGAGCGGCGGCCTCGAGCTGGCCGTGGGCGGCGCGCGCCTGCCCGGCCTCACGCTGTTCGCGGGCCAGGTGGGTGCGGGGGGCGGGGGGCGGGGGGGCGCAGTTAGGGGGGGGGCGCGACTCATCGCCGGCCACCCGCAGGCGGAGCTGCTGGGCCACGTGTGGGCGGGGCGCGGCAGCTCGGCCACGCCGGCGCTGCGCGCGCTGCTGCCGCTGCAGGAGCGCGCGCTGCGCGTGCCGCTGCTGGGCGCGGGCCCGCTGCGGCTGCGCCTCAGCCGCGCCGCCGCGCTGGCGCTCGACGCTCAGGTTTGAGACGCCGCATTCAAATTACGCCGTAATATTTTTTGCTATCGCAAAACGCCCGAGCGATAAAGTCTGTCACGTCAAGCGCATAGCGGGTAATTGACGTGAGAGCGAGTGATGCGCCCGACGCTCCGTCGACCATAGATTGGTTTCGAACAATATTTTTAAATGGGTTTTTCTAATAGAATATCTTATTTCTTATAAACAGTTTTACGATAAACCAGCTTTTAATAATTTGTTGTGTCATATTGATATACTATTAGTAACTTTTTGTCAGTTATTTAATAATTTGATATGTGTCATATTGATATACTATTAGTAACTTTTTGTCAGTCAATGTATAGATCAAAGTTATAAAAATGTATTGGTAGTGATAATTACAAAGGCAAGACGCGTAGAGGGCATCTTGAGCTCCCTGATGGACGAAGGACGAACGGGGCATGCAGGCGCAGGTGTCGCTGTGGTCGCGCACGGCGCGCGCCGAGCTGGAGCTGCGGCTCGGCGCGGCGGGCGAGGTGCGCGCCGAGCTGAGTGGCGCGGCGGGCCGGCTGAGCGCGCGCGCCGCCTTCGCCGCCGAGCCGCGGCTGCGCGTGGCCGCCGACCTGGACTTCTACGAGCGCGTGGCGCTGTGCGTGCGCGCCGCCACGGAAGACGCGCCGCGCCGCGCGCGCTCGGCGCTGGCGTCGCGGCTCGGCGCGCGCTCGGCGGCGGTGCGGCGGCGCCGGCGCTCGGCCACGCCGCAGCCGGGGCGCACGCTGCAGCTGGGTGAAGCCAACAGCGCCGCCTGCCGCGCGCTGCCGCCCTGACCGCGCCGCCCGCCCAGACCGCGCCGCCCGCCCAGACCGCGCCGTCCGCCCGCACCACAGCTCGAGCCAAATATTATCGTCGATATCGCAATGTTGTTTATGAAGCGAATTTGTGCCGCGAATATGTGAGCTTTATTGTAGACGAACGAATAAATTTTCGAGTAAAAGAATGGCGTTTTAAAAATACTTATTGTAAAATTTTAATTCATCACTAAACATAAATGCATTTATATTTAAAGCTTTGATTACTTTACATCAAATTAAAACAGCTTTAATAATAGACTGAATTAATAAGCAATTTTAGTCTTAAATTATTCTTTAATATTTATAAGACAAACGTTAGTAATAAGAAAAAGTTTAAATAGTTTTATAAATAATTTTGTACCATGCATGAATCAGTTTATTCCTTTAATATTTTGAAATAAATTATAAAAACATCAAATTTATTTCTGTTACAAAGTTTTCCTTAACCTCACCTTCCTTTCCTTCCTAACACCAAATTCTTTTTTTACCTATAGTAAAGTAAACGAATAAGACATATTAAAAGGTTTGACACACTCGCAGAGAAGTTCGAAATTTTAACTCTATAATTTTAACTCTATATAATTAAGTTGATCTCAAATATGTTATATTGCTAAATCGCTGACCATGTAACCATTTAATGACCGATTCAGACCGCATTGATAAACAAAAGAGTGTCGGATTTCAAGTGAAATAGGGTCTATGTTTATGTTTATTGTACAATGTTTACAAAATGAATATTTATGCTTTTGGTATCAAATTAAAGCTTATGTTGTCTAGTTTAGTAACGAATAAATATCATATGAGATATCATACAATTTTTTTTATAAAAACTTGTTTAAAAAATATTTACGTGAAATTTAACCAATATTCTCAACTTTAATATTTAATTCTTTGTTTTGGATGAATAGTTGTACTTTATTTTCATATTTTGATTCCTTATGGTTTCAGCTTTATACACGTATTTTTGAAGTGAAACTTCTTTATCGGGGTTGGAAAAAAATTTAGTGTAACATTTTTCCGTTACGTGCCATCTTTTTTTTTATCTTAAAATGTTCCTCTAACGCCATCTAGTGTTGAATAGGGGGTTTTATGTCGTCTTTATTCTTTGGTGGTTTTAATAGTTGACGCTAGATGGCGTTAGTTCCTTCGTTTGTTCATAGCTATATATATATGTTATTAAAGTGATCAGCAAAATCAAAGGGTTTAATTCTAATCCTAAAATGTAAACAATATATTTCGTATTTCAGTTACCATAAGCCATTAATAACACAAATATATAACAACGACATCAATGATAGTAATAATTCTATTACAATTAATGAAATTCAATAATAATCTTGGTAGTAATGACAGTGCTAGCTCTAATACTTCAGAGCACGACACTGTGTATACTTCCTCTTCTCCAAAGGCAGGCACCGCCCACCGTGACCTGACTGCGCCTTCCACCGAAGACACAATCTGAAGCTGACCGATGATGCTCTTCGAAACCTCGATCGGCTCCTGGAACTTGCGGTTGCGACGTCGATCCAACGTCCGCAAGTTCGGTTTTCCAAAAAAACTTCACGCACACACACTCGCGCGCGAGTCGAATGTCTGCCTTCTACTCACTGGCTGACTATTCGGCAACGACGGACCATGTACAAATTCAAAGCGGTTGTATTTTGGATCCTCCATCCTCGTAATTAACCTCACAATTGAAATAAACAAGGTTCACGTTGCAAGTTTTTTAACCAACAATTTTTGCGGACCCTCATACTAATTACAACGGTTAAACCATAGTGTGTTTTAATTTATTACTAACGCCACCTATGTATTACAAATAAGAAACTAAATATTATACAAAGCTAAAATGAAATAATTGTAGAATTTGTATTTATGTCTATGATAATAAAAGCCTTTTATTAAACTTTATCTAATTTAACTTTATTTAACAATTTCTGTAAAGTTGCATATAGTAAATTATTTTTTGAAAAATAACGTCATAAAAAAGTTTCACTTCTTACGAGTGTACGCTAGTACACGCACACATTTTTTTATTTTACTTCTGCTGCCCTTATTTGCTAGAAAATATACTTTTAATCAGCGATGGCGCAGGCGCTCGACGCAGTTCATCACCGATCAAGTGATGGGACGTTACAGAAGCTGTGTAGTAAGGATGGTGCAGGGCAAAGAGTACATTATTAATATAGAGTTATGTCTTTTCGTGAGACAGCGCTATATCTTGATGCAGGACCGAACTACAAGTTCACAATGCTATATTTCTACAGGAGCAAATGACACAAATCCAATCAAAATATTGAACGACCTAAGTGTTATGCTCAATAGTCTAAGTGAATATAGAATATATATTTTAAATGTTGTTAGCAATCCCCATTTAAATGTAAAAACCCTGAATAAAAATATTGCTTCTTTAGTTAGGCTGTATAATAATTGTACTTTTTTATCTTTAGATGATTATGTGAATAATAATCCTAAGAAATTTTTATGGTACGGGGTTAAAAAAAATATCTACATTATCGACTGTTTCGATTATGATTCAAATTTTCTATGCATAAATAAATTAAAAGAGAGTAATTAAAAGCCAACCGCCAGCAAATAAAAAGAAATACAATTAAAAATTTACAAATGTCAAAGGGTACAATCCCATATTATTTTAACTTAATTAATAATAAAAATAAAAGAACTCACAGTGAAAAAGGTTAATGTCTACAAAGTAAACAAATACCTAATAAGGGTTTAATAACTAATTATTTTAAATCAATAGACACAAATTATCGAACATTACAAAAGCCGTTTCGTTTGTAATTCAAATAGTAAAAAAATGTTTATATTACATCAGAATATTGCAGGCATCCAGTGTAAAAAAGATTTACTAGAATTAACGTTACATGAAT